TTTTGTTTTGTTTTGTTTTTATATACAGAAAGAATTATAAAAGACACTGGCCTGAAATATATATCTTGCCATTGTGAACAGATCCTGCATGGGCTGCCAAAGGTTGCGGTAATGAAGACACGTAACGCCACTCGTTTGTCTCCAGATTGTAGCACTCCACACTGGACAAGTAGCCAGTTTCATTTCTTCCACCGATTACATACAAGTTCTTGTCAAGGCGACAGGCGTAGAAACTGGCTCTCCTGGAGGATAGGGCAGAACAAAACAAAAGAAGCCAACAGCAAACCAATTAGCCACCTCAGCCATGTTTTTTTCCTCTCTCGCTGAACTAAGATAGCTGCTCCTTCAAATGCTACTTCAGAGAGAAGCATCCAGAAGCTTCGCATGCTTACAGCTACCCTGGAGACTGGGGCTGCTTTGCTAATCAAATACATGCTCCACATCAAATAAATACTTCATTTTCGGTGTCAAAACAATTCAGCACACATAAACCTGGCAGAAAATACCCCTTTCCAAAGCTGTTTGTTGCTTTTTCACACCCATGAAAGATAAAAAGGTGCTCATTAATGTTTGGGGCATTACCTTGTACGGGATATAACAACTCAGTAAGACAAAGTGAAAAATGAGGTAGATAATGTAACAATAATAAATTATCTTGACATTCACTTTCTTTATGGTCCTTCAAGGGTCATTGTTCCCAATTTACTAAGAGAACCACATCATCAAAATTTTTCTTCAATTATCATTTTTTTTCTTCTTTCTGCAGTACTGCAAATAGAACAACTTTCCTTCCGCTAGGCACAATATCACATTTCCACCCTTTAACGCAAAAGAGGTCTGTCTCCATCCAGCTAACTCTGAGAAAAGTTTGAGCCACCTGTCCGCTTTCACATGCAACTCAGGTATGCAGGAAAATAATTACTTTTTCTGGGCAGGACTGCTAGGCATATACCAGTTTGTCTTCCGTGTGCCTCCAAAATTAATGGTGAGTGTCTGTTGCTGAAGTAAAAATAGAGCAGTAGACAATTTTGAGAGACCCTGTTTGGCGTAATCCATTTTCAGGGAGAGCTCCCCGGATTATTCAGCAGCAGGAAGGTTTATGAGGGTAGAGGCTTCTAATTTTAAGCTGCGATGATACAAGAAAGAAAACTGCAGAAGAGCACAGCTAGGCTAGGATGAAGACCTGTACAAAATGTTGAACAGGAAGAACTGTCAGTCCCAAACCTCAAATTTTCTTTCTCCTGGGTGAAACGGGAGTGGCGCGTGAGCCCAGATACAGCCAGGTCAAGCACGGCAAGGTCCAGCTCTGACAGCTCCTGCAAATCAGGCATGCTGGAGCGTCGCTGCAGCTTGCCAAACCCCGCTCTGTGGCTGACACAATGCGCTCCGGTTCCTGCCCAGGCACCCAAATTTGAATCCAGGAGCAGCTGCATATTGCATTCCTGAATCGCATGGTAAATTTTGGGGGCTTGAAGGTCACTTGGCACCGTCAAGGGCTCAATCCTGCAGACCACTGCAAGGCAGTCAGGAGGAGCAGTAGTCCACGTACAGACCGTGACACCCCGCAATTAACAGCTCTGCTATGTCCCAACTCCTCCCCAGGCTTACCTATAGTCACCGAAACCAGGTGAGCTAGCAAAGCCTGGTGTGCCATGTCTCTAACCTGCCACCTAGCAAGGCGTGCTTTCAGGAGCATCTCCTTCAGTGAAAGCACAACTAAGGTCTCCCTCCTTTACCCAGCTGCCTATTTTCACAAAATTTGTAATATGCTTTAACATTTTGGAGACATCACCCTCTTTGTCAAACGTGGCTGAAACTGCCTGGTGGTTTGCAAGTTGGAGAAGAGGTCAGGCAGACACAAAGATACAGCCATGGAAACAGCAGGGCTGGGTGGGCATTCGGGGAGAGACCTGACGCACCGCTGCCCGTTTCTGGCCTTACTTTTTGGATTTGGTGCCACCTGAGAGGGCTCCTCACCAGCCAGGGTGACTGAGCACCTCCTGTCTACCTCTTTGCTTTCACCTTGCCTGCACATGGGCAACGTGGACGGTGCAGGACAGCACCCCTTGTTGAGTGGGAGTGGGAACACCACCACAAGGATAAGGCTACTGATAAAAAAAGATGTAAATAGGAGGACAGGAATACTGCTAAGTGCCTCCAGCTCAACTGACGAATTAAATAAGACCATTTAATTTATCTGTCAATGGGCAGATAGAAGCTGATGGCATATATTGCTCTGCATGGTCGGGCAGCAAATTGTGCATCTATGTCTTTAGCCTGATTTTCTATGGAAACAAAGCTTATTTGATTACACTGTACGTGTACCCATGTCTGCCTGAGTGTTGTCTCCTCAACAAAAACCTGCTGGCTGACTTCACTCTGATTTGACAGAGGGTATAGGTGTTAGAGGCAATCAAGTGCCTACATGCTTCTTGTGAGTATGTGACAAGCCAGAAGCAAGACATCCCGTAGCGGCCCCAAAAGTAGAAAAAGCTGCAGAGGTCACATCCTATTAGACATCAGAGAGCCTGCACAGACAGGCACACGTTCTCTGAACCTCCTGTGTCCGGCAGCCGCAAGGCACAAATCCACAGGGTGCCTGTCATCGATGTTTGGGGTGCATGAGCATCCGCTCGTCTGTCCTTGTGCACCTCCTCTGACAAACCCATTAACGAACTGCTCTCACTGTGTTTTTTTCAGGTCAGGTTTAATAAGCAGAGGTAGGTATAACTTGCCGGCATTACTGTTTTAACTGCGATTTCATTGACGCTATTCTGTACGTGTACTCCTGGTTTCATCCACACAGTGTCACTATAAGGAGCAAAAATGAAAGCGTCAGCACGCTCCACTCTTCTGCTTGGATCTGAATATTCACTCAGTAGCTCTGTCACAAATATTTTAAGCTTTTGGGGTTTTTTTTTACTTTTCAGTGATACAGTGTGTAAGGGGCATGCTGTTAAGTGATGACTTTTTAAACTGCTGTAAAATATGATTCAGATTAAAATGTAATACAGCAATCTTTGCACAACAACATTCCCCACAAAACTGGGAAGACGCTATCCGTTCTAATCAGATAACTGGAATGCACCTCAGGATCTGAATACGGACAATAAGCCAATTATTTTGTGGTTTTCTTCAGGACTTGCAAGTACTCGACATTCACTTGCCTCTGAAATGCTTTTCCTTCACATCCCTTCACTCAATAATCAATCCAACTAATTTATTCTCCTAAGTACACACTTAGGAGAAGACACAACTTCTCTCTGATTTCCACAGATATTTTTCCACAGTTTATGCCCTGAAACAAGAAATACCACTACCAGTCTGAGTTTTAAAACCACCAATGCTATTACTGATCATCGCAATATCTGTACTTGATTTCAGAGTCACTTTGGTTTTTAAAAACTAAAGTCATCTTAATAAGGGTTAACATTACTATTATTGAAGTCAGAGACTAAAATAAAAGATTATATTGTTTTCTCTCTTTTTCTGTGCCTTCTTTTCTCAGTTCACTCAGCCTCATAGAGGATGCTGACCTGCTCGCTTCCACTTGCTCTTCTTCAGGCCCTGCTACAATACTGTGTTTCCTGCTGGTCTTTAAACAAAAACTTTTAACCCAGATTGTAAGAAAAAAGAAGATGTTTTAAATGTTATTATGCTCCACACACCTTGTCCAGCTCTGGGCTGAGCTGGCACGATGCAACAGTACTGACTGAGGTGTCCAGCTGAGGCTCAAGCCACAAGTTCAGATAAGCCTACTACAAAGATCATTCCTTCAGGAGGCACCTTAGTCTAACTGAACTGTTCTCCAGAAGGCATCCCATTGTTATTGCATCATCAGGCAGATGTGTATTTCAAAAGCTGATGAGTCATTTGCTGCTCCTCTAAACAATGCACACCTGAAAATAGTACATACTTTTCAAACGCATGCATCTTTGAGATGTTCTTCAAATGAAAAGAAACCAAACTTGGCTTTAAAGAAAATACACTGATGGCTCTGAATCTGTAACAGGATTAGACTTTTCTTTATAGCTCATACAGTAAAATCAATCAGATATGGATTTTAGCATATGAGATAAAAGTTTACTCATCAAATATTTCATACAGATTTTCAACTTGAGAATATACTGCCTGTGAATGAGACCCACATTTACCTGGCAGTCATTTCAAAGGAGCTATTATAGTCCATCTAGCCAATTATTCTCAGACTAAAATTCCTAAGTAGGTTTTGACTTGATGGACCATAATGATTCAGAAAAACCCATTAAACAGTCTGTCTTGTCAATGGTGCCTGAATTATGCCAACAGAGACAGGGCGTGACCCTACACTCCTAGGGGGGGAAAAACAGCCTGTTGACTTTAATGGGAACAGTATCTGACTAAAGGAGCTGGGAAAGAAGACTGCATAAAAGCTCTCTCTTGTTTGTATGATCTTCTAAAAACTGGGCCAGACCATACCTCTAAAGGCTGCAAAAATTCCAAGGAAGTCAGTAGGAATGAGCAAATAAACCATTAAAATCATTTTAGAAAGTCATTTGAAAATCCCTGTTTTCCGACAACAGCCCCAATGCTTAGGAGCCTTTATAGAAAAATACTGGGCAAGCCTATGAGTTATGTATCCTGAACAAAAGAGGTGACAATTAACGTCGTCATACTAAAGCCCCTTGCAGAAGGAACTATGTATGAGTGGACCATTACATTTAAATAACACTGTAAAGCACTGAGCTGCTAACGCAATACAGTTTATTACCGGGCAGCTGCTAAGCAATCACAACGTGCTGCAGAGTTTCTAACTCTTGGTTGAAGGTGGCAGCTTCCACCAGAGCACAGGGCAAGTCATATTCAGCACCTGCGATTATAAACTGATTTTCTGGTTAAACTGATTTTCTGGTGAAACACAACTGGCCACTGTAGAGGTGGAAATACTCCTACTGTCTGTTTTCTCCAACCCTCAACTACCTACTTCTGCTTTCTGAGGTTTGTCAGCCAAATAAACCCAACCGTTCAGCCAGCCGCACTTGTCCCTCAAGAGTTTTGCTGGCAGATACATAGAGGGCCTAATGAGGACACAGATTAGGCTCCACAGAAGAGCTTCAGGCTCCCTACAAACACTAGTCAGCCTCCCAGTTCACTGAGGATGACCTGCATGGCGATGCGCAATCTCACGCACACCTCCCGTCTCCCTCAGACCAACACCTGAGCTGGCGGTGACTCAGTCCAGGGAGCGGAACCAGAGGGGAAGGCATCCCTCTGCTTCAAGGTAAATAACCCACTTCTGGGGTCGCCCCACAGCGCTGGCAGGAGGGATGGAGAAGCCAGGGACTATGATGAATTGTGATCTCTTCTTATCTCTATCTATATGGCTAATTTTATCAGTTCACTCAGCTCCAACAACGAACCTCCTCAGATCTGTTCCACTTAGGCTTTTTCATGCAGTGGTACAACGCAGTATTTTCTGGTGACGAGCATCACACATGGGCCTGCACACGGACTTAGGCCAATCACACTGAATCCTGTTAAAAAACTACAGACGGACATTTTGCCTCTGAAAATTTGACAGGACAGCCATATATCCGCGCATCTCATAATGCACAGCTTGAATCGCAAGGTTGCACTGAGTTCAATCTATTTATGACTGCCAGACACCTGAACACAGGGGGCAGCCAACAAAAAAAGAACTATAATACTGACAGCACACGGAATAAGGAAAGTGTCTGAGGAAGGTGGTGTGAGATCTCTCATCCATTAGATCTATGAGAAGATGAGTGTTGAACTGCAGGATGGACACTGAACGTTCTTTCATAAAACAACATTATAACATTGGATCTTCTGCCTTTGAGATTCTTCTTACGAAACACACATCATTCAGTTCAGATTTGAGGGACTATTTACCTGCAAAGGTAGGATTTGAGATCCAGAGTTAAGTCTACGCCATCTTTACCAGTCATTGCTCAAGTCTACATGCACCTCTGCTCTGCAGTACACAGTTAAGACTAAAATGTATGCTACTCTAATATGCATTAGCTGACAGCAACTTCGCTCAAAGACCACCTAGAGTGGAGAGTCCTCTGACAAGGCGAGTCATGTTGAGTAGAGGTCTTCAAGGCTGCCATGGTTAAACAGGATAGGGTGAACGTGTGAAGGTTCCAGTTCCCTATAAGATATCTGCCTAAACTGTTATTTACTGCAAACCCACCATGACGCTTCAGTCGGGGAACATGACAGGACACTATGAAGACTTCAGAAAAATCCTTCAGACCGTACTCAGGCAACCAGTAATTGCACTAAGTCCGTGGTTATTTTTCATGAGTTAGCACTGCAGGATTTGGCATCTGGAGTTGTGAAATTGGAAAGTTTAAAAAAATAAGGAGACAAATGGGATGCAACTGCATGCTGCAGTTTTATCTCAGTATTTTCAATGCTTCTGTAGGCCTCCTTACTCCCAGAACTAAGACAAACTGCAGCTGCTCCTAGGATGATAAAACATATATTGAACAACATGTAGTAGTAGGTTTTTACCTCTCTTGCATGGGTGGAAGTTGTATCCAGCTGTTAAACCTGGGATCGTATCGGCTAACAAAGTTTGTACTGTGTTTCCCTGTAAAGATAGATTATTTTGACACTCAGCTGTTTGTTTCATGTATTTAACATCATGATTGTAATATATATTACATATACTTCACAAGTTGACAGCTTTTATGAAGGGTTCCCCCTTTTACAACAATGTATGATTACACTATGTGTACAGTAATAATTCAACAAATGGGGCACTGCAAGGTTTGAATTAGCAATTGTTAGCAGTAAAAGCAGATAAGAGATTATTCTTGCTCTCCGTAATAAGATCTTGAAAATGTGTATTTAAATTAACTTATAGATGCTGTGGTACTTCCACAGCCACAATAAATCACAGCACTAAACAAAATTACTGCCCTAAAGAGGGCATCCCCACGATATTTTTATGACTAGAATACTTGGTGTCAGGTAAAAAAAATCAAAGGGAGGATATATGCTTTTCTTTCTCCTCACATCGTCTCTATGTGGAACATGGTAAAAATATCTTGTGCAAATAACCAGGAGCTGCATAAGCCATCAGCATGGGGTATGCAGTGTTTGCACTAGATGGTTTATTCTACCATGTACTTTCAGTGTTAAGTTAGAAGGAATTACACATGTGCATCGAAGGGGGAATACACTCTTTGAGTTTTATTCCAAGTGTGTTAGCTAAAATATGAAACACGAGCAACATACACCAGCTAACTAGCTTATCCCTGCTGTCAAGCCCAAGAACTGTATTCATGTCTTCACGATATTAAGATTTCACCTTATTTTACATGCAGATTGACATCAGAGCAAGAAAACTGAAGCAAGAGAGTGTATGGCAATTTCCTGTAACACCTGAGACTTCAACAGATGAGGATCTCGGAAACAGAAACCTTTGTTTATGTACGTGTGACTAAAAAATTGAATTAGAGGCTTCACAGGCCAGCAGAATAACCCAACTGCGTAGGTCACAGTTCTATAAATGGTCACTGGGTATTCTACAAGGTGAATATTTTTGCATCAGAAAAGCCTCTGTAGGATTGGCTCGCTTTGCTTGTTTCATTCCACACTTACTTCAGCATGTGTAAATAGACCATCAAGATTGTAGAGAAGAATAACAACGCAGCTAGAATTTATATTCCTAATAATTTAAGATCATGTTCTACAAGGAATCAGAGAAAGAAACCATGTTGACCACTTCGTCTGGAAGCAAACTCATTCCCTCGCTATGTATAAGCCTGTTCTATAAGAGAAGGGTAAAGCAGAAGACTGATGAATAATGCAGCATTTCCCTTCAAATCCAGTGTGGTGCCTAATGAGGACCAAAGCCCTTTATGCTGAGCACCACTCAAACACATCTCAAGACATACGGTGAGATCCCCATACACTAAGGGCAGCTGGTCATTTTGCCACTGGGTTTAGTGAAGCGAGGCTTTGCTCTGGGTCCCTATCCAAACTCCTTTAGTCTACACAGACAATTTAGAAAAAGAGGCATTGAGAGCTACAGATTCAATAAACGGTAAAACAGTAACAGCAGGCATCTGACTGGCTCTAGGTCTCACTGCTGAGGACATTTATTAATCTACTGCTATTTCAAAAAGCAGGATTTCAAAACAATGTAAGTATTGATCATAAGTTTGGACTTCTAGTAGGAGTTTTTAATTATGCTGTATTCACTACATCTTTCAGAGTTACTGGGGACTTCAGTGGCCACTGGTTATATAGCAACTTTTTATTTGTTGTCATACAAACCTGTGATTTGGGGACCTTGGCCTCCTAACATAATGTGTCATACACTTATTCACTACAAATATCATGTATGTAGAAGACTGTATAGCACAGGGTAGAAAAAGAAGGGTTTAGTGAGCCTAGAGTGAGAATCCAGCGTACAAAACTGGTCCCTTCACAGGAAGGGAGATGAAATCAAACTAGAACAGGCACAAATAAGAGCTACTATGGTGACAGGAGGAACAGAAAGTTTACCTTATGGCAGGAGACAAAGGACTTGGCTTGTTCCTCCTAGGAAAACAAAAGCTGAAAAGGGATAGGAGTGCTGTCTGTAATACATCAGAGGAACAAATCTCCAGGAGGGGAAAAACTATTAAGCTAAAGGCCAACTCTGGCATGAGAACAAGGTGATTTAGACAGTCAAAGAATACATTTTACTGGAAATTAGAATAAGGCTCCTAGTCATTTAGAGCAATTGGATTCTGTAACAGCTTTCCAACAGGAAGAGTGGGGGCTAAAAATCCAACTGCTTTTCGAATGGAGATTAGAAAATTTACAAAATGGGTCTCTAAGATGCCTGTGATGGCAGGAAAAGGACTGATGACCCCACTTAAGGGGCCTGGTGTAACTGGTTTGACGCCGGTTTAAATTTGGACTTCAGTTTGAAGAACTGTATCTATTAATTTGCCTTGCTTATCAGTCAGGAGCCTGTCAGAAAATCTGACAAGTGATCAGAAATCAGGATTAGAAAACAGGACAATGGGACAACAGGAAGCAGATGCTGCTTGCTTCTCTCTACAGGAAGGTCTCTGCAGCCATGCCAAAAGGTGAAGGGCTCTGAAGTTTATGAAGGTTGGTCTTAAATCCATGCCTCTGTTCAGCAAGCTGCTCTCATCAAGAGTTTACTTGTGCAGGGATCCCTTATGACTGGAAAGGCATAGCCATAGAGGATGTACAAAAAGTGAGAAAAAATGTCTCCTGGGCTCCCTAGGTTGTCAGGAAGTCAAGAAGCATCACAGAGGGGGCACGGGCACTCCTCAGGGTCCATGCAGCTTCTCAAGAATCTGCTGGTCTGATAGCTAAAGAAATGTATGGTGCTCCTTCCATTGCCCCCATCTCAAGGATAATTCTGTCCACTGGAAAAACACCTGGCACACTCTCATTCAAATCAGAAGCCTTGTAATGCTCTGGCAAGACCGTTCCAGCTAGGTCCCTCTGAAGCCTCTTCTGTGCTATGAGAATAGCAGACAAAGGCTTTTACATAAATTCAGGTGGGTACCTCACGTGTAGCTGCACATTGAGACCAAATCAGTTCCAGGAAAGAACTAGCTCAGCAACAGAACAGGATGTAATGTATGATTTCAGGTTCACTTTTTGTAACAAGTAAGGCCCATTTCTCTTGGGACAAATTCATAAAGAGATCAGTATCAGCAAAGCTCCTACTTCTTTTCTTCCTACCTTCTCTACAGAAAAATCACAGCACTGGTATTCCCAGAACACGGAAGCTGTTAGACATCTTCAGCAACATCTTCAGCTCAGGAATTGATCTAGGTGACCTTAGACCTAAGGTACCATCCACCTCACAAACAGCTCTGCTCAACTCCTACCTAAGATGCAGACTATGTAACCCCTTCTAACATCTCTCTATCATGTTGCAACTCAGATTCCGCATCTTTAAATTGTGGGTAATTATACTTCTTTTCTTTTATCCTTCATGTGACATGGCCATTTAATTATAAACTGTCTGGAACAAGGTCTGCCTCTTATTATCCATACGCCTACCACCAAGCACAACAGGGGCCCTCAGCTGTTGGATGTGGCTGATGCTCCTAATAATAATTGTCATTAATGATACCACGCTATCTCCTGGTTAATATAAAGGAGATTCAACAATAGAACTGAAGGGCTCTTCTCCTAAGACATTTAGTGATATTTTTAACTACACCGGAAATATGCTCATAGGGTGGACTGGATTGTTTGTCTCAAGTTTTAGGAAGTGAACAGATGTAACAATTTTCTATAATTTGGTTTAGTGCAGATGCTGAAATGGGGCATTCACAATAAAATATATGCAGTATATGTAATTTCAGCTGGATCCTCTGGTGTTTTAAAGTAAAAATGTGTACCTGCAAGCTGTTTTATGGTTTCTCAGTCATAATTATCTCTGTTACACAGACTGCTACAACTACAACCCTTTCTTCGTGTGCAAGCTTTTTAACAATGTCTTGACAATTTTGTGAATTTTGCAAGGCATGGTATTCTCCTTTTGCTTTGCTCAGAAGCCTGTTAAATTGTTTAATTTCTCTTTGCGGTAAATTTATGAAGTAATCAAATCAAAGAAGGTAGCAGCAGATAATCTATATGAGAAGCTCTTGCACAAGACTAAAAAAAAGGACCAGTTTAAGAATCTCAGAGTCTAGATAATTAACACATTAACAACTTTAGCTGCGAGTATCTGGTTTGACAATAGAAAAGAAGCATTCATCTACCGCAATTGCATTATTATATTATGACTGGAAGGAGACTGAAAATGAAGGTTAAAATTCTTAACAGCTGCTGCCTGGTGCATGCACTTGAAAGAGTCTGTTCTGCTGCCTGTGGCATTTCTCAAGGGATGTGGGAGCTGATGAATGACGGAGATGCTAATGCTAAAGTACCAGATATTTATTACATCAATATTTAAAAGTAGCCTTTGCTAGGTTCAACAATTAGGCTGAGGGTCCTCAAAAACCCTTGCTACTGACTACATCAGCCGCCCTGACAGACAGACAGAGGAAGGCAAATGCTGCCTGTGCCGTTTAATATTCTATACATACCATTAGGGTTCCATTGGTCTTCTCCTCCCAGCACAAACAAGAAGTTTTCCACTTCCACGACACAGTGATGGGCGCTGTTATATGGCATAACTGGAAGTAAAGCAAGATTCTTCGTCAGCTCAGGGCACTGATTCCATCAAGTATTTTCAAAGGTACAAAATACAACACTGGGATTAAGTCTGTAGGAAATAATAGGGGAATGCATCACCCCAAGCATGCACATCCACTGAATTAGCAGCAGACAAAGCCACTTTTTAGTAATCTTATGTTATTCAATCTCGCAAATAATTGAAGAAAAAAGCTGTAATTCTGGTCCCTCGGTGCCCCCCCCCACACACCTGCCCAACTACTGTATATGCCGCTCTAGAAACAACTTGTATAAAGGGGTGAAATTGCCTGATATTTCCCTGAAAATAAGCAGATGCTAGGAATCCTAGTATGCTAGGAAACATTAAAAGAACCTCAGCCCAGCTTTGTTCTGCTGGTAATGTTTCCACAAGAAAAGTCAGTGTGTTCAGTAGCTCTCTATTACACAGCAATGAACAAGCTGCATTTCCATACAGTTTTAAGTTTTTAAATTAAGGTCCTGCTGATTTAATGCCTTTTCCAAATGTATACGCTTAATTTCCTGTACAATGTCATTAGCAGCACAACCACACATTTTCTATTCATCTAATCAGGAAGCCCTTTGTTAACAAAGATCAAAACTGTGGTATTAGGTTTGCAATATCCCTTTTCTTTGGAGGTGTCGGGATTACTGTGGATCAACTACAGTCACAATAATACATTTTTTTAAATTTACATTTTCCACTGCAAGCAATAAGACACAGAAATAAGGGCTTATATATACATAATATGTACATATTATTGTGGTGTGCCATACAGCACTATTGTGATATTATGTGGTAAATGTAAACTTACACAACATTAGTTACCATACCACATAGAGTAGTTTTGGCCCAGTGACACCAGTAGGAAAAATGATGTCCTTGTTCAGCTCATCATATGGGCACCTTAAATCTAGGTGAGGACAAATGGGGAGGTGATGTGCATGTACAGGCAGGGAACTTATTGCTTGACACGGATCAACAGAGCACTTAGGAAACCAGTGCAGTGGGAAATCAATATGACTCAGGGCCAGCTCTTACTTTGTGCTCTTTTGCCAATGCCAAAAAAAAAAAAAAAAAAAAAAAAGAGGCAGCCTATCTCACACTTGGATTATTTTGGGTGATATATCTCTCATTTCATTTGTTTTATTATCTTTTATTTTTCTCAGAATGCAGTTGTGCAGTATAGCATATGCAAATAATAATAAGGAGAAATACGCACAGCTTTGTTATTTAGGACACATTTTCTTAAAGATCAAGTGGGCTCATTTAAGCTTCTTACTGAAGTTTTTGCCAAGGCAATGATGAATAAGTAAGGGACGTTTTTAGTTTCTAGTAAAGGTCGAATATCATTTTCATAGTCTGTGCTCTTACAAGTCATGTAAGTGAAGCAATTCTTAAATTGGGCAGCCAGGTACAGTGAAAGTTCATTAATTAAGGTTATTTGTTACTAGCACACTTTACGTAACTGGGATGTAATCCTATACTAGGCACTGCATGAGATTTTATACTACCTATAGATTCCTACAGTGGGATGAAAAATGAAAAAGATTTTTGCTATCTTTTTAGCCCCTGTGTCGTATTTATCTCATTCTATAATCTCAGACATTTTCCTGTTTTAAAATCTTCTCTCTCAAAAACCCAGTACTTCCCTTGATTTTGTGGAAGCTTCTGCTACAGAAGGGATTTGGGTCTCCCACGGGACATTTGCTGTCTTCCTTAGAGGCTTTTTGGGACCCCTCCTCTCCGGAAGAGACTCCCCAGGATCAGTCCGCAGGGGCTTCTATTCTTACCTAATCCAATGCTCTGTTACGGTTTCCAACTAGATCCAAGCCAGTGGTTGTACCCTCAACCAAGCTCTTCCGTTGGTCAATCTGGAGAGATCTAGCATTTATCAAAAGAACTGTCTGGAGGCAGCACACATGCATATTTTTCACATGCTGTGTTTTCATTTTTGCAAACACTTTTATTTATCCTCCATATTGACACAAACAGGGCCAGTAGAGGAAAAAATTATATTTTAAGCTTTTCTGCTGTTCTCATGCATATAAACTACGCAGTAAGACTCCCACACTTATGATGATAATTAAACCTTGAAAACTAAGGGCTTAATCCTGGCTCCTACTTAACTTGATGGCAATGTTCCCACTGATAGGGGATTGGGCCCAAATGACCCAAACTACCACGCGTAATTCATGGGAAAGCTAAAGGGAAACTTGCCTTAGAAAGGAGGGTAGTGTTTGGGCCTCAGAAGGAAAGGTGACCGCAATAAAACACTGCAAACGTTTAGTATGCCCTTTGTTTCTCACAGAGCTTTGGGGAAAACTCTCCTCTCGGTCTCATGAATCTACCCATGGAGCTGGAGGGAGCTGGAGAAATCAGGGAGGAAGGAGCAATACCATGGACATCTAAGAGGGAGGGAGTTTTGGCATTGAAATTGTGAAATCAGCACTGCAGTCTTTCTCCTCGACCATTTTCAGCGTCCCTCAGAATCATGAGTTATACACAGAAATCAAAATGATGGGAACGAATATTCTTTTTACCGCTATAAAACACACCTTGAAAGCACCACAAAACTTGTGCTGTAAACCATAATTCCCTGTGAACACACCCCCATATAGGACCTAACTTTTCATAGATACAGTCAAAATTACAGAGCAATGAGCATGCTAAACTCAGCCTCTTGTAGGAACAACCTTCTCAAACTCAGTGGGCTTGCCAGGGTGTAACAAGAAGAATTTGGCCCATCACACAGTCTGGCCAGGCTGCTGCTTTCATTAATTTTATACAAGCCTTTGTCTGCTGTTGTGCTTTAATAATGCGAAAATCCCATCTTCTCATTTTTCGATTTCAACTCAGTGGAACACCTGCCTGCCCCACAAAAAGGGTATTTGAAGAGAAGTTTGTACGCCACGCTCAAACACAGCCCGGTGTGAGTTTTTAGCGTGTCAGTCAGTGAGTTAGAGGGAAAGGGTAAGGAGAAGCTAATCAGGATGAAATGAGATTAAAGGCTGTCTAATTTTACAGCAACTGTGATCCATCAGCCACTGTGAAAGTGACAGTGGAAATGAATGATGGAGACAGACAGGTGGGGCTGTACATTTCACTGATTTATCCTCAAATGCACTGGGCCTTATTTTATTGAGTGAACATGACCGCATTTATCATGACTGTCATCTAAACCCACTTCCCTCCATTTAAAAAGGTCACTTTACTAGGAGGGAGTAGGATAGAGGCACTTTCAAAACAGATTTAAAATTTAATAACACATGTTTATAAAACCCTGTGCAAGAATTCTCAACTTTATTAAAGGCCGATTTAAAAGGAAGGAGAAAAGAATATTAAAAAGAGGAGAAGATGAAAAAAAGCCATGGTCATCTGAGAAACATGCTTAACTACCAAGGTGATAGGTGCCAGAGAATTATTTGAGATGGACAGATACAAACAGATTAGTCGGAGTGGGCAGAAACCACCTCTTCTAAGCCCCTACCCCTCACACGCACTTCCCAAAGCTTGGGAGGCCCGTGGCTAACAAACTTGTCCTTTCCTGAACCAAGAGCACAAACCGGTCCATGCAGCCCTACAGAAGACAACACCTCCACCAGCCCCTTCCCATGCAATTTATGTATGACCAGTAGCAGACCCTCAGTAAGGTGGGAGGTAATTGCTCAGGTACAGACACATAACATGCAGAGCTTTCAAGGTCAAAACCAAATGGGTGATTTATACTCGAGAATGATCTGGAAGGCAGTGGAGTCCAAGGCTGCTGTGGTGTTTGCTAAGAAACTACACAAACGTCAATGGGCATTCTGCAGGAGGTGACACTCATCGACGTTCTTCAGATGCAGACGCAGGTGCAAAAGACTCAGCAGCACTCTGCACATCAGGATAGCTGTCCCAAGCAAAAACTCCTTACTTATGCCAAACCTTAGTTAATGAAAGGCACCAGATAATGTTCTGGGACCTACTTTCAAAAACAGAGTCTACAGCTTATAACCACTCATGAAACCAAATGCTCTCAACCATAATGCCTATGAGATGAGCCAGATGCAATGATGCTCCAAAGGCACCTCCAACTTTTGTTCGGAGGTGACAGTGACACACCTCACTCACCTAACAAACAATAATGCGTGCTCTTCGTCTCACCCAGTTTTGCTTGGTTTCTGCCAACAACTGCACATTTAGGAAGCAGCGTCTGGTTGTTCTCCATACATTAATCAAGGGGTCATCAGTTCCGCCTTCTCCTTACACCTTTCCCTGTCTGTCATCACTTCAACACTAACTCGCAGGGAAGAAGAGGGAACAGGAATGGCATTTCTCAAGACAGGAGGAGGGATGAGCTCTGGTCCCAGGAGATCTGAAAGCTGTGATACAGCCCATAGTCATTCCCCTGCTCTGCTAAAAACTCCTTTTGGAAACTGCACTTGATTATTCTACTCAAAGTTAAAAAAAAAAAAAAATCCATAGATTTTTTGCCTGCTCTGAACTGTTCAGCTGCTGGGGATACAGCAGGTACCGTGAGTAAAGCCAAGAAATCTCTTCCTCAGCTACTGCACAGCTTGAGCATAGCCCCTCAAGACTCAGTACACACCAAGAAGTCACGCTTATCATCTCTAATGACCTGTGCAGATGACGCAAGAGAAGAGTGTGTTTCCAGAACCAGGATGTCATTATCAGAGGACATACAGAGTCAATAATGACCTTCCACTATATTAACAGCCTAACCTGTTGGCTACATAATATTCAACTACTGCTACTTGAAAACTGGTTATTTCCATGTCTCTCTTTAGAAGGCTGTGATTTGCTCATGGCAGAGACACAGTGTTCATTTCATTCCCAACCCTCTCCCCAAAATGCTGGCCAGACCACAGCTGGTCCAATTATTTCTTGGGAACAGAATATCAGATACTTTTCACCTTTCTTTGGTTCATACATCATTTGCAGGAAGACCACGTATTTATTACTGAATGTTACTTGTTATTT